GTTTGGATTTTGACAAACAAAAAACAAATCTTAACCGAATATGAACTTACTTTTGTGACAGTCACATGAGATTTCCCTTCTTTATTCTAAAAGTAGAACAAATAAAGTTAAAAAAAAAAACAACAACAACAAAAAAAACCACTTCCCATAGTTATTCAACGTGCTGACTCTGGCAGTATATAAGGGGGTTTAGCGTTTACTGCCAAAAAGACTAATGATGAGAAAAAAATGTTGCTTTAGGCCATAATCATCAGTTTGCAAATGCACATTGGGCAGTTTTTGTTGAGGTGGCAGAGGACGGATTCCACTTGATATGGTAGGAGAAGGTGGACGCCAGGGTAACGACAAGAAAAAGCCAAAACGTAATAAAGCCACCATCAAACTTTAGGGCGACATACCTAAAATATATTTTCTCACTCTGTTAGAGACTTTTCTGTAAAGTGCAGTTTGGTTAAAACTAGAAAAAGTGGTGCAGTGTATCTAACATGTGTATTTTCTGTTTGTTTATTTTTGGGATAGACTTGTACAGAAAATCATACACATCTCCACAGCACATCTCTATGTAGCTGCTAAGAGCTGAAAAACGTGTGGAATTGATTTAGGCTGAATTTAGAGGCATGTCTTTCTTCGATAACATGTTGGCTGATTACTTTCAAGGCAAATTACATCACAAACAATATCACCATGAATGACTGACCTTTTACGTGCGACTGTAGTACCATATTTCAACTTTCAAAGGAAACTGAGGATAGTCGATTTGACTATTTACGGTATGTAAAGTTTTATCAGAGACACAAGCACTTCAGTTCACCCCATATCTTTAATTCTTTACTGACGTTCGTCTATTTTCTTTAATTACGTTTCTTGACCGATTACAAAATGGCGTTTAACCGTCCTCTGTTACGATTTTGGCACACAACGGAAATACAAGAAGGGCGCAGTCTATCTACCTTAAAAATGAACTGGCTGTCTACTCAAAACAGTGCACATTTAACAGTTCATGGTCTTCCTATTGTAACAAATTAAAATTGTAACACATCCTATATTTCAGCAAACATCATTCCCTAATGTCCAATTTCTTTAAACCATGCGAAACATGTAAATAAATTATTCTTATTAGATACTTCTTGACTACAGAATCACTTCGCATAAAAACCGTCCGTCTCTTTGACTTTGAATTTTAACTCCAGGTGTAGATTTTGTTGTAATAACGAGTCGTTTCCACGACAGTGGTGTTTCCAGCCTGATAAGTGCGAGTGTTTGATTTCACGAACTCTATCCTCACAGACAAAGTTGCCGTAAAACGGCGACCATTACAGAAATCTAATTGCTGCTCATGCGCTTTGTATGTTCCTCGCTGAATTTCATCTTTGCTCGTCGATCGAGTGCCATTCTTCGTGTTGCGAAAGAACCTCTGAACTGGGGCGGAAAGCGAACCAAAGAGACTTCCTCTTGAAGCATTTTCGTGAATGTTGGAGGCGACTGTTTCCAAGAGTTTTAGATGCCACCGCTTAATGATCTCCATTTGAGCCCCGTGCCATTTCAGCTCTGCCTCAATCAGTCCTTCAGTTCCCCTCTTTTGTATCTGCCAAGACTGTAACGCTTTTACAACACTGCGCGGGATAAAAACTTGGCTTCCTCCCCCTACCAGTCCAGCCTGACCTTGACAGTAGCCTTCGTAGATGAACACTCCTTTGGGAACAATCAGGGTAGTTTTATCCTCCATTGTATTCCAGAAATAGGGAATAGCTAGATCAATTCGATCCCATAATCCTCCACAGCGTTCATCTACTGTCCAATACTGTCCGAACTTGCTAGCACGGCCACCATATGTTATGTGAAGAACTAAAAATTCATTTTTCGGCGTTGTCACCCAATAGTGTCCTCCAAGAAAGTTTTTGTGGTGCTCTCCTTCTACAACATTAAGGGGACCAAAGTCAATTGGGGTAACCTCCAATTTGACTTCAGTCTTGCCGTGAGATGGAGGTTATGAGCTTGAGCCGGTAGAAAAGAAGCTACTCATTATTTTGCCAGAGCAATTAGTTTCAATCCCAAAATTTAAAACCTTAACATCGGGGATATCAAGGGAAGCTTCTTTTTTGCAAAGGCGTCGTTCACAAGTAAATAATTGTTTAGAGGGGGGTTATCAGATTGAGTGAGAGTAAAGACCCCTTGGTGATTTCACGTTATGTCAGGTGAGGACGATTAAAGTGATTTTGAGTCACTTCCTTTACAAAACACAATCACCCGCAACGGCTCACTAAGGTGTGTTTGGTTGCCGCTTCAAATCGTTCCGAAAGGTAGAAAGACCCCTGTTATCGACTCACTCGATCATTACAAGATTAATAACAACAATTAAACAAGCTGTAAAGTTGGGAATGACGGGCGAATAAGCATGCAAAAATATACAAAAAGATCTCTCGTTACACAGAGATTAAATTCGTTAGAGTTTGTAGTAACCATATTGCATCACGTATGTTACAGAGTGGATACTATTGCACGAGGCACTAAAAAATCGGAATAATATCGCTTGAACCTATTTCGAGTAGACAGGAAACGACATTTGGAACACCAAAAAAGAATCCAGTTGTTGTCGTTCAAAAACAAGGCAAAAAATAAAAAGAAGTAGCTGTTATGTCAAAGATGGTCTCCAACGTGTCATTGCATTGTGTGACGGTCATATCCAATCACTTCCGCCTTCGTTTCATGTTCATTCTATTTCAGATCATGCCAATCCGCATACTTGCTGAATAAAAATATTTTTTGCTCACGAAAACATTTTTAGAAAAATGCCACGAAAACTCACTGGCATCCCGTCTAAGAACATGATGCTTTTATAATCGTAACGGTGGCCAATTTACCATTTCAAATTTGTCGATATATTCAAATGATTTCGTTACCCCCACCGATGCAGCCCCAAACAGTTTCTTTATATTAGAAACTATCAGCCTTTAAGAACATGATGGTGTGGCACAAGAAAGTTAATTCAGTGGCCAGAATACTTCCCAGAGTGGCTCTAGAGGTTCAATCTAAGACTAAATTAAAAAGCAAAACTGAGCTTGTGTGTTACATCCAGGGAATCTTTGAGCTCATTACTTGCGGAAAGTAATTCACGTTCTGGCTTCAGTTCTACGAATTTTCACGGATGGGTTTTGAGAGGTAAGGTTATTTTGGAGGTTCTCTGCACAACGCAAGTTTTGAATAGTACACAAGATTGGGCAACAGCTTATCAGCTTCCCCACACACACACAACACTTCTCTTGTTTTAGTCATAAGAACCAAGTGACATACAGTGCCATGCACAGTTCATACTGCCAACAGCTAACAAACACAAATACAGAAACAAAAATTTTACTCACCGAATTCAGCTTGAATAAACTGATATGGTAAACATCAGAAAATGCAGCCCAACAGGCACACGCAGACACAGCACTGCACACAATATGATGATCACCCTGATATATAACATAACTTGTCAATAACTTACCCGTATATAGCATGCTACACCAAACCTTTCATCATTCTCAATTTTCCTTATAATCTTTGATGAAATAATTCACATCCTTTCTCCTGCTGTCATGTCCCAATTACATGTAAACTCGTTGTATTTATATTTGTCTATTTTCTTCTTACTTTCTTCCTTATTTCTAGAAACTGTGCTGGAGTCTTCTGAACTGCATTGGTTGTGTCACCCACTGTATATGAAACAAAAACAAAAATGAGGTCCTCTTCTCTAAATATTCACTAATACCAGCTATTACAGCCATATTGAATATTTTATAGAAAAAGCACAATACAAATAATAAATGTTGTTAATGTTATGTTAAATAAGATTGACACACATGTAAGTGGTTGGGGAGATAGTTCACAATCTTGAATCAAAGGTTACTGCTCCCTAAGGAGACTCAAATGCTTTAAAACATGCAAGCATAATGTTATAACCCAACAGTATGAGCTCAAACATTATAGTCTGTATGAAAAGATGACTGGTGTGTCAGCAGATTGTTACAGACAGAGAATGAATTAAAAGCAAAAATAGAAACACGCACACTCTTTCAATATATGAATTGTACAAGAAATAAAATATCAAATAATAGTACATTTCATAATGAGATCATACAACCACTAGATTATCAATAATTGTTATCCCATTTACCTGATTCTTGAAGTGTCCAGAACTGTAAAGTACTGGTCGTTTGATACATCAGAACGTTTGCTTCTGATGCTAAGTAAACCACTGGTCTCTATAGAGTAAACATAATGAGAAAAAAAAAAAAAAAACCATGGCATCAATGTCTAAAATGATTCATTTTAAAGAGAATGACACAACTAATGTCACAAAGAAGGATTGTGTGATCACTCACTCAAACTTACATGTGGGAATGATGCAACTTTGCCATAACTTGATCTGCCAAACTCTTTAGTGGAATAAAGGAAAAAGCTAGGATCCAATCCTAGATGTAAAAGATGCCTTATTCAACCACTATTAACCACATTATGTATTAAGTTGTATTCTACAATAAATTATATCTCATTGTTCACTACAAATACTTGATTTCTGAAACCACAAATACTGCTGAAAAAAAGAAGCTAAATTTTTAGATTATATAATAAATAGTTAGATGCACACCTCCAGACACCAACAAGTCATGATTTCCACCTAGTGTAACAAGGCAACGGACATCTTGTGAAAACATACGCTGGGAAGCAGCTTTCACCCAGTTTAATACACCATCCTGTCAGTTTCAAATAAAAAACAAACCTCGTTATTTTACAAACATTTGTAGCATATTTGCAGTTTTTTTTTCTCTAGCTTCACTATCATTGGCTGATGTGGGTCACATGGCCTTTCATATTTATGAAATTCATGCGTAGGGTACATATTAGGCAAACAGTTACACCTATTGAACCACTGCCCCAGTGTTGTTCTAACTTACCTCAGTGAAGACAACTCACTGAGTTTCAGCATGCGTAAAGGCTTTTAGAGATGTCAGCTTCTACAGTCTCTTTCAGACTTTGATATGAAGAATGTCATATCAAATTCTAAGAAATAAAGTTTGCTTTAACAACATTTGATCTAAAATCCCTCAATCCCTATGCATGCTGGAGTGCAGATTTTAAATTGATCTTAAGAACAAACAATGAATAAAATAGATATATTTGATTGGACTTGAATATTTTGAGACATCAATAAAACAAATAGATAGTGTACCTTGTTAGGAATTTGTTGAAACTGAACAATCTTACTGTCTATGCCTCCACTAAAAACCATGTTCTCCTCCTGAAAAATGTATTTCTTTTAATGGCTGAGTACACAAAAATGTTACAAAGGAAAACTGGATAGAAAACATTGCTATTGGTAATTTTTGAGTGCCAGAGCTACAACCATTCAGATCAATACAAGCTGGGTAGAAACTTGCCACCAACTAAAATTAAGTCAACTTCCAAAAATAATAATGATGATAACAATACTACAACTACTACTAAAGATAATAATAATAATAATAATAATAATAATAATAATAATAATAGTAGTATACTGGTTTCACTGTATGTACAAACCTCATTAACACAAACAGTGAGTACATCAGCCAGATGTGCTTTGAAACTCTGAAAAGAAAATGTTAAGAAGCACTTAAAAGCAATTTCATCACGTCTTTTAAATCAGTTGAACGGTCTGTATTTGGCACTCACCCCAGGGGAATGACAGGGTGACTGTTTAATATGGGTTGATCACTAAGAACAAATTCCACAGAAAAGGGGTATCATAATAATAATTATTAAATAAAAAACACCATTTCATGCCATAACTGAACTGATTCCATCAAAAATACTAACAACATTGATTTCAGGAGATATTTGTGGAATGAATGTCACTTGAAACTATTCTTAGTTTTTTATCTGAGTGGTTTTGCTTTATAATACAGATATAAAACAAACAGGCTGTTGGGACTCAGTAAAAGGTAACCACAACTCCTTAACATCCATTCCACCTTAATACAGGCCTGACTGAATAACTTTATTGGACCAGTAGAAATCTGGTTGGCACAATCTGGTACCTGAATTAGTGTTCCTTGCTGGCCATCCCAAAATTGAGTATTTCCCAGTGAGTCTCCTGTAATTATCACAAAATTTCTGAAAAGAAAGCAGACACAATGTGGCAAACTGTGCTATGCTATGCTATACTATAATTGCAACTTCTTTCCTTAAATTAGGCACTCAATAGGTTACTGAAAGCTACTGGTACCCAGTAAGAGTGCCAACACCAAGGGCTAGCAGATATCTAAGTTTCGTATTTACAATTCAATAATTTCATTTGGCAAAAATTTCCAAATTGGAAATGTACTCTTGTATTCAAGCAATGTATTCTTGTATTCAAGCTTTGGTGAAAAGTCCTCTTTTCAAAATGATCCCCAGTTAAGGTAATGTTAATGAAAATGTGACCTTTTTATAAGAAAAAAATCTTGATAATTTAATTTTCCCATGTGATGGATCTGAATACATGTACACAAACAGTCTCATCAAACAGGCTTTGGACAAATGATGAGCCAAATCTGATGCCAGGTGATTGTTATCCACAACCTGTCCCACTCAATGGCAAATCCCACATAAATTATAATTCTGAGGTGTTATCCCTGTTGGTTGGTTGCTGACTTGTACAGACACATATTATACCTTGTTATGTGTATGGCCCATATTAGAGTGCTTCTGGATTGAAATTCATCCACTGTTATCCTTAAAGTGCAGTGACCTACAATGACAGAGAGATAAGACATCCGACAAATCTGTCAAAGTTGTCACTTCAATCCTCTGGAGAAGTAACTCATACCAGTAAATAACTTAAAAATTGCAAGCAGAAGCAGCTGTATACCTGATGTTACATTGTACAATCTCACTGTACTATCAGAGGCTCCTGTAACTAGGGTACTATCACTCAGATGCCAACTAAGACACAGCACTCTGCCTGAAACATGAAGAAAAGATGTCCTATGTCATAGAACAAGGTCCTAAAACATGGGTGTGGCTCACTCTGACTCCTACAGAATTACAGTTCTGGCTACCTTTGCTTTTTTTTCTTTTGCATTATACCTACAACAAACAGATTTAGAGCATGCATAAGTCAACAACTATTTGATTTTTGTGCAATAACAAAAACTATCACAGTATTGGTTTGCCACATCCATCTTAGCTTTGAACTTTGGTAGACACCAGATACAAAACTTAACAGCTCTCGCTAACATGCGAAGAAGAATCCAATAATTGTTCATTTTCTGGATATGACTGTATATGCAGGTGAGTATGACTGTATATGCAGGTGAGTATGACTGTGTATGCAGGTGAGTATGACTGTGTATGCAGGTGAGTATGACTGTATATGCAGGTGAGTATGACTGTATATGCAGGTGAGTATGACTGTGTATGCAGGTGAGTATGACTGTATATGCAGGTGAGTATGACTGTGTATGCAGGTGAGTATGACTGTATATGCAGGTGAGTATGACTGTATATGCAGGTGAGTATGACTGTATATGCAGGTGAGTATGACTGTATATGCAGGTGAGTATGACTGTATATGCAGGTGAGTATGACTGTATATGCAGGTGACTGTTCATAGATACTGAACAGTGGATTATATGGAATGTATAACAATCAGATGGCTATCTTTCTTACTAACAACTCTGATCAAACTCCTTACATAATAAATAATACAATGTTATTTTGATATCTACACTGACTGATAGCAGCATTTTTGGATTAAACCATTCAGGTACAGAACTTTATATAACAAATAATTTGAAAAATAACAATGATATAACAAATAAATAATAACTAACATGTTCCTAGTAAGAGATACACCATTCTTTCATAAACAACATCACAATAAACCAACAGTGCATTGTTGTTTACCGGCAAAGGCCAGAAATAGTGTTGTCACAAACTGGGATCTAGTTACATAGAATAAAGGCTGATAGTTTCTAAAGAAACTGTTTGGGGCTGCGTCAGTGGGGGTAACGAAATAATTTGAATATATCAACAAAGTTGATATATTCAACAAAGTTGATGTAGATTGACCACCGTTACGATTATAAAAGCTGACTTTTCGAGCATTCCAGGTTATGTTTATCCTAGCTAAATCTTGTACCATCTTGTTGATCCAGTGATTTGCTGTAATTCAAACCATCAGCAGTGATTTCAAACAGTCTCACTCGACCGTCTTCACAGCCAACCTATCAGTTGACAATAACAAATTTGTTACATTTTTTGTGTCAACTTAAGTCCATTATCAAGACTGCATACACAAAATTAAAACAAGTCCTCCAGCATAACATGATTTTATAACAATGAAGATCCAATCTTGAGCGAAACATTTTTCACTTTATTCTTAATATCAGGAATTTTTTTCCCAACCTACAGCTGTAATTATGAGCAACCAGGGTAAGGAAAACAAAATTATGTGGAAAATGGGTTTTATCTGACATTTGAAATTTGACTGCAATATCGACACTAAACTTACTGCTATATGGGTTCTTGCATGGTTAACAGACAAACACCACACTGCTCCTCCAAAGGAATCAACTGTGACCTGGAAGGGATATTGTCCATAAATTCAATCACAAGAGAATGTAACCAGAAATACCAACTTACAAAAGGTAAACCTGAGTACCAATTCACTAGGATTTATTTTTCTTTTGAATCACTCCAAAATTCAAGATACAATTATGTAGCTACAGTTGAACTTGTATTCATAGCAGCACTATATTAAGCAGTTACCCTGTAGTTAAAGCTGTTTGTACTGACTTCCACCTGTATTCAACTGTCACTTAGAGCCAGAGCACCCTAACAAAACTAAGAATAATCTTTCAAGTAATTTTTGATCTATGTTTCTCTCCCAAGGTTGTAGGTTGCAGGTTGTATGTTTTAGCTAGATTCTGTACATTAAGTGGTCAATCATGGTATAAAGTGGTGCTATGTATTCACAATATTCCTAATCTGTACACAATATTCCTAATCTGTGGAACCTATCTTCAGCAGTCCACCTATATTTAGCAGTCACTCAGCCATTCCCCTGGGTGAACACTTAATACAGGTTTGTCACTGTATTTAGAAAAAAATCAAGTTGACAGATTTAATTAATATTCTTCAATCATTATACTGTTTAGGGTGACATGTCAACTAACCAAGATTTCAACAAACCAAGATTTCAGTTTCCTTTTCTCAGTCTTGCCATTTCTCATGCACAAACCTTGTCCTTATAATTTAGCCTTCCAAATTGCAGAGACCCTACTTAAGTTAATACCTTTGGACGCAAGCTGACGAGATCCCATTCAGCGATTTCTGCATGCAAACCTCCACTGAACAGTCTCCCTTTACACCACTCAAGTGTCTCCACTGAAGTGTCTTTACATCCTGGAACCACCTGAAGATTATAAATGAAATAACAGCAAGAAGTTGAAATATTGTTCAATTGGGTTAGTGAAGCTAATTTTATTAAGTCCAAGCACTTTCCTGATTTGTAAAGTAAGGTGCAAAAGAAAAGATATGGTGTGCTTCTGAACCCAAAGTATATGGCCTTTCCTTATAACAAGTTCACTATAACCCTGACTGGTTACTACTGGTTAAATCTTCTATTTCACTGTTCCAAGACTGTGCTAAATCCAATCAGAATTTTTTTAAGACTATCTTCCAACACAAAGATCCTTTTATCACAGCTATTTCCAAAATAGCCATTGTGTATGGTAACTTAATAAAATGAACAAAACATTATAACATACTGTTTCCTGATACCAATTGTCTTTGAAATTCCATATTTCTATGCTGCTATCTGCCCTGGTGGAACAGAAAAAAAGAGTAGTGTCTATGTTGTAGTTCAATTTCATCCTCTGGTTTAATTTTTACCAAAGCAGCACACACACAACAAGGAAAACGTACTTTGCTTGAAATCTACTCCACCTCTAACAACTGAAGAGGACACAACTAATAATAAGCTTTTTTAAATCAGGAGAAATGACAGTTACACTTGTCAATTGAATTTGTAATGTTTGACTCCTTATCACTTGCAGATAACATATTCAATTTGTATCAGATAACTGAATCTAATCAAAACTTAACTACTTTGCCACTGTTTCTGGTTCAAGGCTTGAACAACTGAGGGTCTTAAAGGTCAAATAGTAATCAGACAAGAGGGAGGTAGTTTGTTTTATTTCTTCCAAATCTGGCTTATTGGCCACTAGATCTACCATCTTTGAAGCACGTCTACTTTGGATGGTATCCATATTAATCAGGTTTCAGGGATAACCATGAGATTCACATCACCACGAATAGATAACCTCATCGTACATAGATAACCTCATTTCATAACATTTTTCTTCTTATTCCATGAAACAAATAGATTCCAAGTTGTTGTGTATCTTTTCAGAAATATATTACAGAAGACCACAAATTGTACAGTAAGAACGTCAGTGACAGTCCAGCAACGCCTCCTTTAACATCATCTGTTAGTGAACAGACACACAATAACCTGGTTCATGCTTTTTATCAAATAGCATATAGGATGAAATCAACGACAAGCACAAACCTCTGTAAGATCGATGAGCATATAAAATTATTATAATTAGACCAGGGATTTTCCTTGTTATCCCTACATTTTCGGGATCTTAGCAAAAATTAGTAAACTGACTGCCCCACTATACTACCCATACTCAAACAAGAGTAAATCGTAAATACCATATACGCACTGCAAACAGAAGCCATGATTGGGCGCAGTAAACGATGTGGTTTATGTACACAAACCACGTGGAGAAAGTAGCTTGATATTTACCTTGACAGAGCAAGTCTGCATGGCTCGTCAGTGTCTTCAAATGCCATGCAGTGAATTGCCTGAGGTACATACTCCACAAATCGAACTCTATGTACGTTAAACTTCATCTTCAAGGCCAATTAAGGCTCTATCGATTGAGAACAAACTAGATAAATTTGATTTGAGATCAATTGATGGACATCCATTCATCTGAGCCTCGAACTTCTTGGCCAGCTGTAAAATATGAAAAAAAATCATTACATATATGGTAAATTTTGTATCCTCAGCGACCAAAACGCTGACCGAGAAGCCCAACCTAAGGCTCAAGGTTAGTTCAGCTGTCACTGTGTGCAGAATTCACAGAATGCAGCTGTTTTCTGTGTGATTCAACCGTTTGGTTTCTTTATCACCTGTTCACCGCTCTCATCTAATCATGAAATCTTACTTCTTCTGCGTAATCTTATCTTTAAGCGTTTATTTCAGCAGAGCAGTAGACGTTAGCGAGAACAATTCCCTTGTTTGGGGTCCAGGACTGGACAGTAGGGTAACTCTGCCGGCGAGATACTTTTTCATTCAGAGTGTGGACAAAGGCAGCAACAAGTAAGATCTTAGCATTATTTAGCGTAAATTAGAAGTTATGAACTTCATCACCTACTGAAGGAAAAAAAGAGGATAACTCAGAAATTTCTCATCACCGCTATTGATGACTATCAAAATACCTTTTTTGACGCGCGCTAAAATAATTGAGTGTGATATGGGAGTTCGAATATTTTTTCCATACCCCCACCCAGGGGTAATGGTGCGAGACCCGCATGGAGTTTTTAAAACAATGATTCCAAAAAAAATAAAACCGGTACATACTTCAGTTTTGAAACTGTAGACATGGATGGCGGTTGATATATTAAAATTTGGAAACTAGAGGTTGATGTATTAAGATTTGGAAACTAGAGATCCATTCTTTAGTTGTGAGTGGATCATTGTGTAAATGCCATTAACCTTTGAAATAATGAAATCACAAACTGGAACTGTTGAAATGGTGTTAATGTATTTTGTAATAAAAAAAGAAAAATAACCAGCAAAAATACACTGGTGTCATACTTCAACGGAAAACCCAATTACTCGTACTCGTTTTTGAATGAAAATGAAATTTGTCAATCCCTCCTTAGAAAAATATCATAATTCCAATTTATCTAGGAATTTAGCCAACAGTATGTGGATTTGGCATATTTGTCCTCTGGAAAAATACTTCACTCTCCCGATGCTCTTAACCTCTACCCTGGAGTACAAATACTCACATACCAAATGAAGACTCCCTTAACTAGAACAAAGCCTCTATCTAGCCTCTTGGATTAAGTTAAGGTGGAAGCCTGAAAAAAAAAAATATTGGGGGTAGCATAGTATCTTTCCCAAAAGAAGTAGTGAGACTTCTAATTACCTTCTGCTGTGGTTAGCCAGAAATTCTAATTGTTACTAGGTGTTGGGTTATAAGAATTATCTTGGGGATTTTAAAACTGCCCCTCTAAATTCTTGCACAGAAACAACTTCATTTCTTTGACCTGGGGATAGTTTTTAGTAGTTTTTTCGCCTTTTCAATCTCATCCTTTTCAAACACCTCGTTTGAAAATTCTCTCAGCTATACTTTTCATGTGAATAAAGGCTGATAGTTTCTAAAGAAACTGTTTGGGGCTGCATTGGTGGGGGTAACGAAATAATTTGAATATATCAACAAAGTTGAAATGGTAAATTGGCCACCGTTACGGTTATAAAAGCTGACGTTTCGAGCATTAACCCTTCGTCGGAGCGAATAGTGGAATTGTGGGTTTTGTGTGCTTTTAAAGGCAGAAAAAGGAGCTACGTGATTGGNATGTAAATCTTTTTGTTGTATTTGTCAAAGACGAATACAACTTAAATCCATCATTCTTAAAAACTTTAAATTACTTCAAAACGATCCAGAGACTAGCACTATCTTTTCGCAGCGTCCGCTCATTTCATTCAAACGCGACAAAAACATAGGCAATCTTTGGTCAGAAGTTCTTTTCAGACTAATGACCAACCAGGCACTTTTAAATGTGCTCATGCACGATGCAAATCGTTTCCTTTCATTCACAACATTGAGAAAATATCGGGACCCAAACGATCCATTAAGATCACCGTTCACTTCACGTGCACCTCCGCCAATGTAATCTATATCATAATTTGCACTTATTGCAAAAAGATTTACATCAGCGAAACAGGCGAAAGACTATGTGGCCGATTCCGAGAACACCTTCGCGATGTGGAGAGGAATGACAAGGACACATCAAAACCAGTCGCTAGACATTTTAATTTACCTAACCAATCTAAGCAACACCTGGCAAGCTGCAGTCTTTCCTTACACTTCGGTAGCATGGAAAGCCAGAGAACTCTTGAACAAAAGCTCATCTTTCAAACCAGCAGTCTAAACCCCACAGGTATCAACAAATGCTTTTCATTCCACTTATTTATTCTTGTTTTCTCGTTTCCATGTTCCCACCAATCACGTAGCTCCTTTTTCTGCCTTCAAAAGCACACACAACCCACAATTCCTCTATTTGCTCCGACGAAGGGCTAACGCTCTAAACGTCAGCCTTTATAACTGTAATGGTGGCCAATTTACCATTTCAACTTTGTCGATATATTCAAATTCTTATACTTTTCATGTGATTATCATCTCTTTGTGTCAGTCTTACAGATTCTCCAGGTCAAGATGCCTTTGATGTAAAAATCACAAGCTCATCTGGACGTGTAAGCGCATGGCTTCAAAAGTTGGACAGAAAAGATGGTTCATTCATTGTTCGCTATAGACTGTTTGCATCTTATCCAGACCTTACTATTGAAATTACACACAAGGGCAAGAGTGTTGCTAACTCGCCCTATAAATTAGAGGGTAAGGAAATGTAATTTCTTTTTACTCTGACTACTGGTTGAAAAAAGGTAGAAACAAACAAAAAAACCCAAAAAAGTCAAAACAATACATTAAATTAGTATGATAAAAGCCCTCTACCAAAAATGTAATATTAATTATTACAATTTCTTCTTAAGTATACATTTGTCCTTTAATTGTGGTATTTGTCATCATGAGAGTGATTCTTATCAATCAATTTATTGATTTATAATCCACAGGAGGAGTTTACCATGAGACTTGTTACTGCCCAGAATCAATTGAGAAGGCCTGGTTAGAAGCCATGAACTGTTCACCGATGTACCCACAAATCCAAAAAGATCTGATTCCATTTGATAAAGTCAACTTAAAAGAATTGTTTAAGGAAGCTGTTCAACGGTTTGGAAAGCATCATGCTTTGTGCCATTATTCTGTCATCAGCAATCAGGTAATTCACAACACCTCCAGATAAAAGTCGAAAAGGTAGTTAATTTAATTATCCATGTTACACTAGAAAATGTTAGTGTACAAGCACAAACTCGTGTTTGACTTTCTATGGAAAAAAACCTCCTCAGCAGGTACAGGTGTAAGAACCATGTTATGTTAATATTATAAACTGCCACTTATAGGCCCCCCCTTAGTTTTAGGCCCATTCACCTGTGAACAGAGAAATCCCTCTGATTATAAATCTCTCCCCCCCCTCCCTGCTATACTGGTACCTCCTATCTCATTTTTTTTTTTTTTAATTTGAAACATAGGCATTTATTAAATAGCATTTGTTAAAATAACTTTTTCTTTTTAGGTCTATCGGAAAACTTATGGACAACATGTGGGATTTTCAATGTTTATGGATAACTTACTTTTGTCTCTTGCCAGGAAGGTAAAAATGATATGAACAAATTAGAATATTGTATCAAAAGAGACTTCTTTAAATGTAAAACTGTAAAAAAGAACAATAAAATCCAACATTTCGGAGTTGTCATGACTCCATTATCAAGGCAAAATATATCAGATCATGCAAATTACACCATTTAAAGTGATTCTGGTGCGAAGAATGAACATAAAAGGGTGCAAGGATTATGAAAAATACTTTTGCATGAATGGAGTCTGATTGCACATTGAAATTTGGCTTTAAAACTCTTATAAAAATCATTTCATACACTAAACAGACAGTTTGTTTCTGCATTTTTTGAGGACTTTGAAACACTCAAGCAGGTCCTGAGGCATTGTCCCATGTACGTGTCCTTGTGGTATTTGGCAATGGCAGAGGATTGTTTATACGCTTTTACATATTGTATATTAAATGTCCGCATGTGTAACCTATATAACCTGCATCACCCAGGTCACATTGAAAACTATAAACAACACACTGCTGATTTACAATTGGTGGCTGTGTTTCTTTCACATTTGGTTCTTGCTGAATTTTATGGCTCAATGGCTCAAACACAGGGTGCTGATGGTGGTGTGTACTTTTAGACTCAGATCCCAGTTAGTTATGGCAGGCCGTTTGTAGCAATATTCGATAATTCTTTCGTTCAACAGTTCAACTACAATTCAACCGTTTAATTCAACCCCAATTCAACCATTCAACACCCCCATTCAATCATTCAAGAATCTATTCAACCCCAATTCAACTATTCAACCCCAATTCAACCATTCAACCCCAATTCAACCATGTAATCCCGCAATCAGACCTGATGGTTGCAGGACTGAGTAACCTAGCACAATTACGTGAAAGACGTCCTAAGACAGGTGTTACGGAACGAAGACCCTCGAAAACGAAGACCTAAGACCTAAGACCTGGTCTTCGTTTTCGTAGTATGGAAACGAAGACCCCGTAAACAGAAAACCGTAGAAATTACAAGTTAAACACACATTAAACAGCAACAATGCTTATAATACATTATACTTCACACGTTTCTTCCCATTATTATACTGCCAGTACTACTGGCCCGTCTTTTCTGTTCTGTTTCGCTATGCGAGCCAATTTGGTGTTGATATTCTCAAGGGTTTCCAAGGGTAAGCTTACCAGACATATAATTCTGGAACAGCAGGCACAATTCGTGAGCTAGCCTCCTTTCATTTATAGTTAGGATTGCGTGACAGAGTAACAAAGAACACGTTCTGTACAGGAAATGACTCTTGGGTTCTGTCAATAAATAATTTATGTCTACTGCATTTCGTAGCTTAAATAGATTCTTACGGTCGTTAAGCCTTCTCTGCTGGAAAATTCTCGTTAACAAGTAAGCAATTCTTTTGGCTAAATGCAGGGTCTTTGTAGTACAAAATTGGATAGTTAAATTGGGGTTGGATAGTTGAATTGGGGTTGAATAGTTGAATTGGGGTTAAATATTTGAATGGATTCTTGAATGGGGGTGTTGAGTGGTTGAATTGGGGTTGAACTGAACGGTTGAATTGCAGTTGAATGAAAGAATTATTGAGTATTGCTACAAACAGCCTGCCATAGTTAGTTGTTTTCTCACTGTATTTGCTGAGACTTGGTCTCTAAATGGAAAAATTACCCGAACCGTGTCATCTGTCGCTTTTGATGGTGACAAAAGCTGTGGCTAATCACAAGCCTTTGAGTCAATGAAACTTTTGAGAATACTGTCCTCAAACGTTCACATTCATTGAAAAAATGTGACTAAGATGAAGACAAACAATCTGCTCAATCAAGCATAGTTCTTAGTAGACCCTTTTTGTACTGATTTTCAATGTGACTCTGATAGTGCAAGAGTACACTTGAAGTAGTGGGTTTTTACGTACACCTTTGTCTCTATTTGAGGTGATTGCATTCAGTTTCCATCATGAATTCTACAGAGGAATTTCTTGTTAAGCATGTCTAGGAAGTTAGATGTTGCCATATTCAGCATAATGGTGAGCATGTCATCAACATATGTTCAGTAGAAAGGTTGGAGTTTACCCTCTTGCTCAAGGTTTTCTTCGATGTGGGACATGTACATAGTAGCTAGTAAGGGACCAAGAGAGGATCCCATAGCCACGCCATCCATGAACAAATTAGAATAACCCTTTTTTCAGGTCTATCCAAGATTATTGTTCATCAAGAAAGCATTTTGATTTGCCATCTTAAACCACTCTTTAATATAGCAATTTAGATAACATAATCAAAAATTGAAAATTAAAGAACAAAGTGAACTTGGTAACCAGTGAGAGAATATACAAAGACTTATCCCCCAAGAATTTTCACATTTGCATCTCACATGAAATATGTCATTGAATTACTAATCTCTGAAATAACCCAGTTACTTACTGTGCACTCTCTGTCGGTCATTGGCTTTTATTGAAACCTCCAGAAGATCACCACTTTAATTTATTTCTGCGTCATTAAAGTCAGGATTTTCTTTATCCTTTGTTGATAGGTGCTTCTGCCTGACATGGAGTTTTTTGTCAATCTTGGTGACTGGCCCCTTGTGAATCGTAACACAAGACCTATTCCCATATTATCCTGGTGTGGTTCAGATGATACATTGGACATTATCATGCCAACGTATGATCTAACAGAGTCCACACTGGAGACAATGGGAAGGTATGGTCTCTAAATTATTATGTTGGATGCTGTAGTGGCAAGATATCCTTATCTGAGAGGCATTATTATTCTAGTCATATTATTCTAGTGGCCCATAGCTCTCTGAAGTGATTAGGATTCACCAATTACCAGACCAATATTCAACCAAGCTGCTCTGTTAATTTATAAACATCCATCTAAATTCCAGGGTTTTCAATCGAAGAAATTAGTGAATTGTGTAGAGTAACCATGGTAATCATGTCTGAATCAAAAATATGACAGGCCATCAACAATTTAGCTGAAGACTTCTCATACATGAAGCACCTTGAGAATTCTCTGATTGGAAGCAGGGCAGCACTGTGGAAATAAATTGTTTTCCCTAAGAACACAATGTATGAAGTAATAGTCCCATTCAAAGCTTAAATTTTGACGAATCATCCAGAGGGTGACTGACACCCACAACATCTCAACTCATACTCCTTGAAAGTTTAACTCAATTGCAGTTTCTTACAGTTTACTACACTAGTTGTATCATGATCCTGGCAAGCTCATCTCAGACTTTCTAAAGGAGATCTAATTAGTTGATAGATTTTAAGCTGTCACTACTTTTTCATCAGTGTTTCCTTATAGTTAACATAGACTAAACTGTGCACCTTCCATGAGAATGCTTCTGTTTGAATTCCAGAGTTTCCCTGGATATGTTGTCTGTGCAGGCCACTGAAAGTCCAAAATGGCCAGACAAGATAAACAAAGCACTCTGGCGTGGCCGTGACAGTAGAGAAGAGAGACTTAACTTGGTCATAATGGCAAGAAAAAAGCCTGAGCTGTACGATGCTGCACTTACAAACTTCTTTTTCTTTAAATATGATGAAAAAAAATATGGTCCTAAAGCCAAACACATCTCATTCTTTGATTTCTTCAAGGTAAGCTCTCCTCCAGCAGCTGAATTACTCCACAAAGAGAAAGCCTGGTGATACCTTGCTCAAAAGTCAAGTCTTGTTAATTTAATCTTTCTTTTTGACTGCCTCTTAGAGTTATTGTTAAAAATCTCCTTCATGGTAGCTTTCATCAGTGCTTAATTCTTACTTTTACAGTTTTCTTACTGATTAAATTCCTGCCAAGTCTATGATGTTTAATAGATTAGCAAGAGGTCCAGGATTAGGATGGGCTGGAGTGGAGGCTGTAGGGAGGGGTGGCACTGTATCTTGTGGGGTGGGGTGGAGTGGGGTGTGGAGGCTGTAGGAAGGGGTGGCACTGTATCTTGTGGGGTTGGGTGTGGAGGCTGTAGGGAGGGCTGGCACTGTAGCTTGTGGGGTATCTTTTTGTAAGTATGTCTTCACACCTCACACCCATTCTCTGTCCATTTTATTTCTAGTGGAAGTACCAAATTAACATTGATGGAACTGTGGCGGCATATCGCTTGCCATACCTGTTGGCTGGAGATTCTTTGGTATTAAAGCAACAATCACCGTATTACGAGCACTTCTATGATGACCTTCAACCTTGGACACATTATGTACCTTTCAAAAGAGATCTGAGTGACTTGGAAGAAAAGTTAAAGTGGGCTATGGACAATGATGAAAAGGTAAAATACAGCTCAGGAGCTGAGTAACAAGATGGTCAGCAGAAAGAAAAAAAGATGAAAGTTTACCAAGAGTTATTGAATTGAAAGAAGCCTTGCATCACCTTGTATGAGAAATTTTGAACAAATTGGTAGACTGTTTTACTCCCATAAATGATCAAGGAGGAAGGGAGAATTTCGAAATAGATCGGGGCAGGGAAAGGGTAAATCAGGTTTACCGATGATCAGGTGTTGTTGTCCCAGTGAATAACGTATATTATTAAAAACTAGATCATTGGATAATGCAATTCAAGACTTTTTATTGGCTTAGCCGTTATGGTATATCAGCCTATATACCATAATCTACAAATATGGCAAGCGTACGTGTCAGCGTAAAATTAAAAGGGAGCTAAAAATTTAATAAAATTTAATAACTTAATTTAACGTTTTTAATAAAACAATTATTCCACTCGCTCTTGTTGGATATGAGATGAATCTAGCCAACTCAGCGCTACGCGCCTCGTTGGCTATCTATCATCTCATATCCAACGCGCGCTCGTGGAATAATTGTTAATTATTATATCTTAAAACAGTGGATAGCGCTCAAGGCGCGCTCTGATTGGCTAGTCAAAGTCCGAATATCCTTTGCCATGTACCTCCGAGCAACTCGGGGAAAAAACAGCGTCCCGGTTTGCATCCGTGACAAGCGACGAAATCACTCAAATCAATTTTTGGTGGTGTATATTATCTCACTGTTTTAGTATATACTAAAACAACTATTCACCTCAGTGTCGGTGGTTAGCGGTTGATATTTACCTCGCCGCTTCGCGGCTCGGTAAATTCCACCAGTAACCACGTCCACTTCGGTGAATAGTTGTTAACTAGCCTTTAAGTAGCCATTATTTTATGAAGGAATACTTAGAGGTTTGTGCGAATTTTATTGTAATTAACAACTAGCGCTGTATATTTACCAAACTGCAAACGAGCCGGCTCATTCGCTGGATGGTTAAAAGTGGCCCTGTATTCTGTTTTTAGCCAAAAGATTATTACAACTTATATATTCCTGCAGCAACTATAATATTTTCGGGCGCGCAAATCCCGCGCGAGTTGCTGGGAGGTGAATAGCAAGGGATGTTCGGAATTTGAGTAAGTAATCAGAGCGCGCCTTCAACGCTGTCCACTATTCTAGTTTACACTAATAATGGATATACTTGGTATTTTTAGTGGTTATTTCAACACCAGTAAAAACAGCATTCAAGAGACTGATATGTACAATACATTTCTATCACTAGGTCAAGGAGATAATAAAGAACGCTCAATTATACACGAGAGATAACCTGCTTGCTGATCAAATCTTCTGTTATCACTATATTCTTTTCCAGGCGAGTTTGATCTCTTCTTCTTCATTGGCGCTGCTTTCCATATATCATCAATTTGTTTACACGGATCTGTAAAATTTCACACCGTACTAGCTAATAGCTGTGTGAGTTGGAATTTCTCCAGTGCCTCAACTAGCTTGCTTTCAATCGATTTCCTTCATCAGGACTTGATTTGTCTGATCGGCTGTAGCCACCCACCCGGATTCCATTCAGAGTCCAACTAACTAAATCTTTAACTGTTGTAAGAAGTTCATTCCGGTCGTTAGTCGATGGGTTGTTTTCTTCACGTTCTTAATTGTGTGGTATAAAAGGGACGAAACATAAGAAAAATCGAACAAGGTTTCTTTTTTTCTTTTTTATATCTAGGAGTATGCTAAGCGCCAGACTACCAAGCCGACGAAACATTCAGATATGGAACACATAAAGCAACCAAGTGATAGAGATTCCAAATGCAACTGTATTAAAAACAAAGAGGTTAGTCACAGTTATCACCATACGCAGGTTGTGTCACTTACATAACCATTTCGAGCTGTTATAAACAGATATTTGAGCTTGTTTTTCAGTTCCGAGAAATCTGTGCAAACTGACATTCGATGCCAAAAAAAATTTAAGGGCAATATTTGTCTTATCGGTTAACAAATGCTTTCCTTTTTTTCCAGCTCCGTGACGAACTCTAAACCTCATTTTGCTGTAAAACAAAAGCTTGCCAAGTTCCGTTTGACAGCCGGCCAGCACACACAAGCTTCGCTGTTTGGTGTAATGGTTGGGACACGCCCCAATTGAAAAAAAGCTGCTTTCACAGTTTCGCTTCACGAACTTCTTTTACAACGACTTTCTTATCGTCTTTCTTAAAATGAGAGTTTTGTACAAAGCTGTTTTGTGAAGAGCAGATTTTGAAGCGAATCATTTTCGGAATATTTTATAAACATCAGAAAACTTAATATAACATTTGTCAGAGACGGCCTGGAAAGGAAAATTCTCCTTACTATTGAGCGTTTGAAAATAAAAAAGCTTAAAATATCCAGTGTAGTGGCACAAAGCCTTACTCCAGGGTGCTGTTACTTCCTTTTCGCTACTGCTAAGACAACGAACAATCTCATCTTTATATAATAATCGGCAGCTCGAATGTATGATATTCATGTATTCACAGTCGTTTACTCATCACTCACGGGTTTATGATGAACCAACAAAATGACCATCTCCCAGGTGGCTTGTTAGCACATATGGTAGAGCACTGTACCGACTGGATTCAACTCCCACACACGCCCTCATTTTCGCTAAAGTTGAGGTCGGTGCCTACTGTTGCCACTGCGCACAGCGGCTCCTTAATTTGGTGCGCAACAACAATCTGTGAGAGATACATTCAAACAGGTTCCAGAACAGATTAGATCTTCTCTCGCGTTTCACGCATAGTTAACAAGCGAGAAGAATCCTATTCGAGATGGGTAGAATACAAAGCGATGCTGCGCTGTCTGGAGACCTTACTACCAGTTAATTCAACAAGAATTGACAACTCCTCTTTCAAAGGGATCTGTGCTAGCACATTTTCACGGTTCACATCTGAGGCAAAGGGCTAAGGGAATATGTCAACTGAAATAAATTACCCGGTAGCTACAAGTTCAGTTACTAGGGAAGAAAATCAACGAAAGGAAACCTTACTTACTCCATTAGAAATGACGAAAGGGCTTATAAACAGTATGGTTACTTTATAGCAAATCGATCGCCGGTGTGGTTAAACAGGCGGGCATGGCAAGATTAAATCAATCAATGCTAATGGTTTTTGGTCCAATTCAAATTCTACGAGGATCGTTTCATGAGCAAACATTAAAGAGATAACATAACTACAAGGAATACAGTCGAAGGACCTTTGCAAGACATCAAATGTAGCCGAGATAAGAAAGATTTGGCATAGACAAGGAGAAGAAAGTAAATGAGTTGTGTACCGAATCCCAATAGGCCGTGAAATCTTAAATAATCACGGTGTGTTTTACACAAACTCTCTAGCAGACGAACTTATGTTTTAATTAACACTTACCCCCGCAAGTGACGTAGTAAAAGGATCTTAGAAACACAATTGGATTATGAGTTGACTAACATTCAACTGGAATGTGAAGGGATACACAATCAAAAATTAGGTTGAAGAGGTATCCTCAAACTATTTAAATGGAAAACCGCTCATGTATGAACATGTAACTCTGAATAAAGCTATAAAATTCGCCAGAGAAAGATACAGTCTTTCTGTAAATAGTTTCACGTAGAAACTGAAGAATCAAGAGCAAACTTAACGTCGTCATAACTTTGAAACGGCCAGATTTGATTTGTCAAAATTCATTCAGCTGCACTGAACAGCGAGGCCTTACCTCATAAAGAGAAAATCTTGAAGTTTTGAGAAATACTATCTAGGAATTTCTGAGACCATCTCCAAAATCGTCTAAGGGGATTTCCCTCAATACGGATAGTCACGCCACACTCACTATTTCAAACTTCAATTCTTTGGTCAAACTTGTTTAGTTAAAAAAAATGGCAGCACCAGCCTAGGTCTGTCCGAACTTGGATAACTTTGCCCTCCGTCTTGACTACAAGTACCAGGGCATGCACAAACGCTGCATTTTGATTTAAAACTACGTTGTTCACTGATTCTCGATTTTCCCATGCAGGATCAAAGTTATTCATGGGGCATTCCATACTTTCATACAAATTAGACAAAGACGAAATATTTTGTTGGGGATAACTTAAGGCGGGGTTTCACTAATGATCGTTAACTTAAAACATTCAGGCAATTTTGAGAAACCTTGAAATTCAAATAAACAAAACTCCTATCATTTCGCGTGAGTTTGATTTGCGTTTTTGATCAATCCAGCAGTCCATTCCAAATTCTTTTCTTCCCTTAGCTCGCGGCGCTGGGAATATGGCGGTGAAGTTATGCGACACTCTGGATAATAGTTTTCGTTCATATTTATTACTTTTTCCAGGAGGAAAACTGTTGTACTTTACCAGTTGGTAATAAAGAAATATTGTGCGATGGAGTGCTTAGTAATCTGCTGCCATAAAAGCCATGATCCAATACTCCTTCCAGATGGAGAGACTGTGTTACTTGGCAGAGGCCCTCTGACCCAAATAACAGACAAGAAATGCTCCAGAAATCAAGGTGAGGTCAATCCTTCTTTAGTTTCATATACCAAACTGATTGCTTAATTGACTACCAAATCTTATGCATCTTCTGATCATTATAATTTATTAATAACGCATAACATCCTGTAAAGTTAAAACCTTGACATACTCGAATTTGCACGAAATTTACCAGCTTTTTTCGGTATCACCCCTTTGTCAAGGTGGCTTATATCTTACGATTTTTGACAAATTGTAAACTTTCACAAGTCCATAAGGACATAACATTCGTAGATAAACGACCCAACAAACTTTACAGCTTTAACAATGATCCTTTTGAAATAAAGGATTCGATTTGATTTGAAATTTTTGAGAGATCTCTTGGCTTTTGATAGTCACAGAATGGGATATGGGTCTGAATCAACCAGTGTGTTGGGTATGTCAATCATCTGAATTTGGGTATGAGTTGACTGAGTACAAAAGTCTTTTGGTACAAAAACGACTAGATACCCCACACCCCCGTTTATTTTTAAACCAAACTTTTCAAGTACATCCGTCCATAGCTAATAGTGATATACACATCAATCCATCCGTCCATAGCTAATAGTGATATACACATCAATCTAGTCCTGAATGACTTGATTAACACAATTTGTGCCCAGTCAAGTAATCAGAGTGTTGACATAATTTGACATGTGGTTGCTGATAGGCATGAAACATTTGTAAAACTTCAAAAGCGAAAATAAACCTAATGAATGTGCCTTTTTTTAAGAATTAATGGAGTACGAAAATGCAACAGATTGGAATTTGGCTAGAAACTCCCCCATAATACCAACAAAAGAAACCACGGGAAAGGTTTCCATTTGTCGTATTTGATCTCCAACTATGGCTTTCAGTGTAACATGTATTGCAAAAATATTTTAAACAAATTTGACAGAAAAAATTGCAAAGTAACCAAAAGGAACGTACATCACAAAATCCACATATATTTTTTTAAGATCAACTCTTCAGTTGTGTTGATCGAAGTTTTAATTGAGCGGTGTGCAGATTTGACAACCAATTAATCTGCTCAAAGAAATCAAAATAAGTCCCTTAACTATTTTTGTAATAACACTAAGGATTTTTGAGTAGTTTTGGACAGTCCTTGAAGAAGTTATTTAGAATGGGGCATTTAACAGCCTTTACAATACCATGTGGTACGTACCTTATAATGATTCCAATTAAAATTGATTGAGTGCATGACCAAGTTTTTTTGAATTTGCAGTTCAGCTCACAGCAAATTATTTAAAAAAGGAAGTGCTTGTGAAGCAGGTAATAAGAATCATTTTTTTGATACTGGCACTTTGGTTTGAGATTAAGGAAGTTCTATTAAGGTATTCCTGTGTATTTTAACTTTGTTTAATCAGTGACATGCAATAATGGCATATCTTTTGTGGATTTGTTATTGAGATTGTTTTTAAAATTTGTGTAATGCATTAAATTACCAAGCCTGCAATTTGTTACCTGAAAAATTCTGCCTTCTGTTCACCTCAATGAATGGTCCTTTAGGTTTCTCAGATGTCTTTCTCACAAAAAAATATGTAATGTGCCACAAACCTGGTATGTGAGACAACAGAGAGGCCAGAACATGCATCAAGCACTACATTTAGGGAAAGCTTTGTGAACAGGATACGAATGATGTATTCAAAATCGACTTTTTTTCAACGCCTTCTGCAATTAGTAATTTGTGTTTGTTTGTCCTTAACATTGCCCGCCTAGATTAGCTTACTATTTGCAGGTGGTGTTTATTGTAAGTAATTGTTTTGAAAGACCTAATGAACTTGAAAAAAGGATTTGAGAATCTTTTAAGCGATATCTTACTTGAAGTAGAATGAATTTGGCTGGTCATTTTTCGGGGTGTTCCAAGTTTATTTATTTTTGTCTTTTCTTATTGTTCTTTCTGTTTATCATTGAATGTATTTATTTATTTTTTTTAACTGTGAAGTTTTAATTCAGAGATTTATAGTTAACTTTTTGCAAATTAGCTGGGAAACAATTCAAGTTCTGTTGGAGGAGTGAATCTGGGCAAAGGAGACTCAACATTTCTTGGTCCTGGAGGAACTTTCTGTCTCCTTGGAGACAAGTATTCTCACTTCATCTATTTCAGTAGACTACAACCTTCTGAAAGAGAAAGAGCCGATGATGAACCTAAATCCAAGAAAGCTTGTTTTGATACTTTAAGTGATTCAGATGATAATCTCACATCTGAAGACCTTGAGGATATACGCCGTGAATTTGGCCAACAGATGGTGGAAAAGATACAACTGCAAAAGAACAAAAAAGTTGACCGTTCAAAAGAGGATCTAGCCTTTTGTAATTTGAGGGATTCATGGAAGGATATTGGAGAGGAGCTAATTGTTTTCACCAGTAGAGGGTCAGAAGCAAGTTCTAAGGTATCTGAGTTAAATGAGGAATCTCCACAGCTTATTGTGTTGGAATGATTTGTCTTGATGAATTATCAACTGCAACTTCACTGTGTGCTTAGACAAACATCCAGACTTCCTTATTCACTACTTTTTAAATTTATTTCTTTTATTGTCAGCCAGATTATGCATTTGCCAGTCTGTTCCTGAGTCTTTATGATTAGACTACAATATTTTTTAAGCTACAGTGTATTAGCATGCTGATGTGTTTTAAAGGAATAAGTTCTTGTCTGTCAGGCTGTTTTTAACCTGTAACGAAGCTCCCATTGGAGGTTAAAAAAAAGAAGCTGCAAATTGATGAAACTGAAAACTATTTGCAACCTGCAGATAATAGGTCTATTCCTTTGGGAATTGTAATTTCACTCAGGCTAGAAGAGGATGGGGATCATTTCTCTCACAATCATGGTTGGGTAAGGAAAGGAAAGTGTGGAAATTGCAATAAAAGGTTTTTTATGCCTGGTATTTAAGAGTAACCATGTTTGGGCCAAAAATAGGACTGTAAACTGGTTTAAGTGCCTAGCTATTTACCCTTCTCCTAATCAGTCCACCTTGGCTGATCAAATCTTACATGTTATGTAATGTTACAAAAACTGAATTTACCAATGCTTAATAATGAGGGCTTCTTTTGCAGATTGCTGGTTTTGATTTGGATGGAACACTTATCACCACTCAGTCTGGGAGGGTGTTTCCCACCTCAGCCACAGATTGGCAGTGAGTGAATTAAAACATTACCCCTAGCTCTCACTTTCAAGATCATTTCACATGGCAAACTAGGGCTTTATCTCCTTGAGTGAACATTGGAATTTTCACCAGTGTGCATCTTACTGTATTTAAGTGCCTTAATTAATTTATATATTTTATCCTTGTTACCTTTGTGCAAACTATTTTCCCACATTTGAAATATTCATAATTACACTCTCCAGAAATAACTGACTCTGTACATGGTCAAAATGACTTCAAAATCTGGCAACAGGTCTTTTACCATTCAGCTACTGTCCAAATACTATAATGGCCCACACAAAGCTGAAGGTCATTTAGGGAATGAATCCTGCTTATTAATGGATTATTAATGATTATTAATGAATCCTGCTTATTAATGGTGACTGTGAGACACAAGTCAGTTTATTAACATTTCAACCCCTGAGAGTGTTAAGCATCTAAAAACTCCTTCCAGCATCATCCCTTCCAGCATCACTCCTTCTTAATAGTTATTTATTTTCTTTGTTCTGTCCAGAATTCTCTGTCCAGAAATTGTTCCAAAACTGAAAGGTCTTTGGCACAATGGATACAAGGCTTGTATCATCATTTTTTCCATTGAACTTACTTGACTGATTAACTGTTTGAACAGGTATATGAAAGTATATTTTTCATGTATCATGCTGTGAACCTTGAAAAATTTATTTTTATCATTAATTTGTGATTTTCATCAATTTATTCCATTTTCCATAACAGATTGTCATTTTTACAAACCAGGTAGGTTTGAAAACTTGCATTTTTCCCGGGTGTTGACCTAAGACCTAAGACCTGGAAAACTAAGACCTGGTTTTTTTCAGGGGGAAATTATCAAATTTCAGCTTCCTTTACCTTTAAGTGGTAAAATGAATGAAATATTACTTCACTCACACTTAAAAATAACAATTATTCATTTTACCACTTAAAGGTAAGGATGCAGAAATTTGATGATTTCCCCTAAAAAAAAACCCCAGGGTCTTAGTTTTCTGGGTCTTCAGTCTCAGGTCTTAGCTTTCTGGACACCCCATTTTTCGCTTTGATATACCAAACTGACTCTCGAGATGTTAGCTTTTATACTATGTCTTGTGCATTCATTTAGTTTTTCCAATGCTTTTTACAACATTGTTTTCTTTATTCCATGTAACATCAATAGGAGCAGCATTATGGTTTAGTCTGACAGGGGATCTTTTTTAGTTTTTCATGAAAAAGCTAGTACTAATGACCAATGAAATAGTTTTTAATCATTTTTGTTAAAAGCAATCAGTTTTTAAGAAGGGTTTACATCAGCTAGTGGTAATGATTTATGTAATTTGAAATGCCAAACCTGTGGATTCATAAGAGGAGACAGGATTGTGTTTGTACCATTGATGACAATGGCCGTTAGAAAGCCACATTCAGTGATCAGCTGCTAACAGATTGTCCAGCTTAATTGTATTAATAATTCTCTCCCAATTTTGGATTCTCTCGTATGGGATTTTCATACAGGAGTTTTAATTACAACATTTAGCCCTCTAACACAAAGAATATATGAAAGACATATATCTGAACTGTGGGTATGAAACGTATATATGACCTMKTYYYCACASWRWACGTCATTATTTAAGAAATAGACTAAGTGAAAATCAGACCTGAAAAAATCCAGCCTGGATTATTTCAGCCTGGATTTTTTCAGGTCTGATTTTCACTATTGCTTAAATAGTGCTTTACTGCGAGGATCGAGCACGTATATGTTTCATAATCGCAGTTCAGATATGTCTTTCATATTATTCTTTGTGTTTGATTTCTCATCTTACGGGTTTATGTCGAATTAATTTGATGGCCTGCTCCCAGTTGGCTTGTTAGCTCAATTGGTAGAGTGCTGCTTTAGTATCGTGGAGGTCAGTAGTTCAAATCCCTTACAAACCTGGATTTTTTCAGGTCTGATGTTCACCATTGCTTAAATAGTGCTTTACTGCAAGGATCATGCACATATACATTTAGCCCTCTGTTTTTCTACCAGCTTGGCATTTCCAGAAAGCAGTTAAAGGTAGCAGACTTTAAGTCTAAGATTGAGCAGATCATTAGTTACCTCAAAGTACCTGTGCAGGTGAGATAAATCATACTCATCTCTAGATCTTTCAGATCACAGTTTATTTTTGATGGTCCAAGGTTATTTCAGTAATCTAATTTAGAAGGCAATTGTCATAATAGTCTTCCTTTCTTGTAACAGAGAATGTACTTCCCTGAATGAGCACCTGGAACTTAACTTGCATTTCATATTTTTATTTTTATAGGTTTTAATTGCTACAGGAAATAGCATCTACCGGAAGCCGCTCACTGGTATGTGGAAGCACTTAGTCACACAGGTATTATTTGTGGGTATCTAGTAAAACAAGTAATGACCTAAAACCACCTACAACCACCTAAAACAACCTACAACCATCTACAACCACCTACAACCACCTTCACAATACTATTGTCACATTTTGTGACAATTTTGTTGACAAATTTCAATGTAAATGCACACCAGAAATGTTGTCTTGTATCATGGGTTCCTATCAGTAGTGAAAACTAAAAATCTATAAGTCATTGTCTGCCAGATCTGCCAATCCAAAGTTAGGGATATTGTGAAAGTAACCTTGGCAGGAAATTTATCTCGCATGTCTTGCATGTCATGACCAGGGAAAAACACGAAAAAAAAAATTGTTTACTCAGGAGCAGCATGAAGAGCCTTGAGGTATTTCAAGTAGCAGATCGACTACGTTTTTGAGGTCAGTGTTTTCAAGGTCTGAGTTTTTGAGGTCTGCTTTTTCAAGGTCTATCTGAGGTCAACAGGACACTCAGCAGGATCCCCAGTAGCAGGAAATTTGATGAAGTTTTTTTACAGCTGTGTGAAATGTACGGTTCCATTTCTGTGTTCTTGCGGCAGGATGCCACTTTGTCACCAGAAGAGAATGGAACATGTGTAACAACAGGGAAATTAAAAGCAATCAAAATCAATAACGAAAATCAGAACAAATTAATGCCAGCATATAATGTAAGTTCCGAGAGCTGATTGACTCAATCTATTTCGCGTTTGGGACTCATAGGGATGCTGCTTGTAACTGCAGTCATTTTTAGGGAATTTACAAGCTACATGCATCTTGTGAGATTTGCAAGTTCTGTTTATCACAGCTGTCACTTCATTTTAACTGTCACTGTTCTTTTCGCGGTTTCCTGTTCTCAGTCAATTAAATTTTTTCCTCTGTGAATAATAGTATCTTTAAACTGTTTTGTTTTCTTTGTTGAACGCTAACTAAGCAGCCCAATGATTGAAGCAATTTAAAATGGTTATGGTTGCTTGGATATTGATTTCTTAGCAAAGGGCAAAATGTTATATTATGCAACCTCATCAAATTTCCTGCTACTCAGACCTTGAAAACACTGACGTCAAAAACGTAGGGTATATCTATCACTCGAAATACCTCAAGGCTCTTGGTGCTGCTCCTGTCATGTAAACAATTTTCTTCATGTTTTTCCCTGCATGGTCATGACAAGCAAGACATGCAATAACATTTTCAGTGTGAATTTACTTTGAAATTTGTCAACAAAATTGTCACAAATTGTCACAATAGTATTCTGAAGGTGGTTGTAGGTGATTTTAGGTGGTTTTAGGTCATTCCTTGTTTTAGTACTTACGATTATTCATGGTAAAGATTGTTTATGTGTTCCCAACCAATTTCATAGTTGCATGCATTAAGTGATGTTCATGCATGCAATTCATTAATTTAGTAATAACAACATTAAGAACTTTTCTCGAAGTTTAACTGTTTTTGGTTTAGGTGGTTTTTACTCAAGCTTTCGAAGGAATGCCTGAGTCTTAAAAGGCAAGCCATTCTTATTCTCCTTTGGTTGCCAGATCGATCTGCATTGTCTTCCCATGTGTTTCTCTGATGGAGACACTGAAAACAGTTTCATTTGATTTGACCTTTTAAGTGATTTCATTCTATCTTCAAGTTGATTTTGCAAATCTGTTTTGGCTATATTTTACATTTATTTTGCAGCTTATTTATAATTTATGGTTTTTGCATATTTCATTTGATTTGACAATTCTTTTTGTCACCTTGTGAGCTTAATTTCACTCCTGCAGTGTGAGTCTGTTTTTTTCTCCCCTTGTGGTGGGTGTCTACAAAACGAAGATCGAAGACCGAAGACCAAAAAACGAAGACAAGGGGGTCTTCGTTTTGTAGAAAAGACCCCGTGAATCTATAAAATGAAGACCCTTGCTAAAACACTTTGTCAGATGCCAATTGACGCGAAATCATTGGGGCCTTTGTTTTCCGTTTAAAAAGGACCGTGTGAATCTAAAAAATAAAGACCCTAATGCTAAAACTGTTTGCGAGTAAACAAAAAATTAAAAGCGTTAAGGAAGATGAGGGAGCGGGAGCATTATTTGGTCTTATTTGCATTATAATTGAATGTCTTCATTTGCAAAACTTTTTTTAGTTGGAACTCTTGTTGCTCTCACTTGACTTGTAAATTTCTCACTTTTAGTCCGGAACCCGAGAAAGGTAATTTACATTTTACCTGAAGTACCAACTTTTACAGCAATTAACCGACACAAGCCAAACATTTCTGGAGAAAAAATAACACGAATGAAACAATTTTTAAAATTTCTAAACAGACAAATACCTTTTCTCTGCAAGCTATTGACGTTAACTTTAGTGCCAAGACGTACAACAGCTCACCTATGCAGCTCATACCCTGCATAGGCGGTATTATAAAGAGTTTAGTAACTGTGGTTATCTTGCCTGTAATCTCATAAATAGAAGCAGTGATGCCGAGGTTTCTGTACGCTGTGCCACAAATTTTATCGCTTTCAGACAAGGATTATAAAGAAGGAGACACTAAAAATTACATATATTTTGTAAAAGGAAGTTCAGTTCTGTGCATGTTTGCGTGACTTAAAAATGATCCTAAATAATATAATTGGCTGAATAGGCCTTATACATTAGGTCATGTGCTCATATTTGGCTAAGCTTTGTTTCAGCGAATGATTATCAACCCTCTGCCAGATTTTGTAAGCGAGCTTGTAAAACGAGACACTCCGAGGGAAAAATAAGTACCTTTTTTTTCTCCTGTAGTTGCTGTTTATAGAATGATAGCCCTGTAAATGAAGGTAGCAGTCATTTTTTTCCAGTATGAATTAGTTCCTCGCATATTCTAGCTTATGTCATTAGTGAGGAGAACACGCCTGCCTGTCTACGTCAGTACAAATATGTTACAAGGGATTTTAATTTCAAACTGCAGTTAGATAATTAGCACATCGTTGTTTACTTTGGTTTTGTTAATGTTCTTTAAATAGAAATCAAGATATAACAGTTTGTTAATTCTATCAGGAATTAAAGACATTTTCCCTGTGTGTAGTTTCTATAATTCCAGAATTGAATAGCCACAAATAAACAATATTTGATTCTTTTTGTGTCAAACTTTCATTGCGAAAGGGAACTATTCAATCTGAACCCTCAGAGTGGATCAGCAGTATGGTAATAGTTGGCAAACCTCAGAAGATTCGAATCTGTCTGGACCCAAAAGACCTGAACCGTGCCATACAACGCCCCAAATTTCGAATGCCAGTGTTGGAAGAGCTGTTACCAGACCTCAACAAAGCCAGAATCTTTAGCTCATTAGATGCCAAAGATGGATTCTATCAAGTTGGCCTTGACCAAGAGAGCAGTAAACTAACCACTTTCTGGACACCCCTAGGAAGATACCAGTACTTAAGAATGCCCTGTGGTATAAGTCTAGCGCCAGAAGCCTTTGAAAGCAGACTACAAGAATGTCTTGCCGACCTGCCTGGTGTGAAAGTCATCAGAGATGATATTCTTGTTGTTGGTTATGGTGTAAACGACTCGGAAGCCCTTCTTAATCGTGATCAGAATGTGGTCCACCTACTTGAACAAGCCAAACAAGTACATCTGAAACTCAACACGAACAAAGTTAAGCTTCGACAGGCAGAAGTTAAATTCATGGGTCATGTGATTTCAAGGGATGGACTGAAACCAGATACTGATAAAGTTACTGCCATCAAGAATATGCCGAAGCCAACAACTAAGCCTGAAGTTCTTACCCTGCTTGGTTTTGAAAACTATCTATCTAAATTACTACCAAAGCTTTCAGATGTGTCAGCACCTTTAAGAGAGCTTACAACCAAACAATTCAACTTCACCTGGGCCAAACAGCACGATGAGGCTTTTGCCACTATTCAGCATTTGGTTACTCAACACCGGGTCCTTAAATTCTACAGTATAGAAGAAGAAGTAACTATTCAGACGGATGCCAGTAATAAAGGCCTTGGCNGGGGAGTATTGGTCTTACCGCAAGGAGCTATCAGTTCACAATGGTGTTCTTTTCAAAGGCTCAAGAGTAGTCATCCCTAAGTTACTAAGACCTGAAGTCAAGTCTAGAATTCATTCCAGTCATTTAGGAGTAGAAGCTTGCCTGCACAAAGCTAAAGACGCTGTATTCTGGCCTGGTATGAATGCAGAAGTGAGTGACCTAATCAAACAATGTTCAATTTGCAACTAATTTCAAGTCAAGAATCAGAAGCTTCCAATGCAAAGCTTCCTGACCGCCCCTGGAGTCAAGTAGCTGCTGACCAGTTCAAACTTCATGGCAAAGAATACATAGTGCTTGTTAACTACTACTCAGATTTCCTAGAAGTACAAAAATTGGAGGAAAACACTTCCAGTTCTGTGATTAAATTCTTTAAGGAACAATTCAGCCGACATGGCATTCCAGATACTCTAACTACTGACAACGCTTCTCAGTTTACAAGCCATGAGTTCCATCAGTTTTCAGTTGATTGGGAATTCACTCAGGTGTCGTCTTCCCCACATCATTCCAAATCCAACGGAAAGGCAGAGTCTGCTGTGAAAATTGTCAAGTCTTTGTTCAGAAAAGCTCTCAAAGACAACAAAGACCAGTGGTTAGCCCTATTGGACCAGTGCAACACACCAACAGAGTTCATGGAAAGTAGCCCTGCACAGAGATTGATGTCTAGACGCACTAGAACCTTACTACCTACAGCTTCTAACTTGGTGCTCCCTAAGATTCCCAAAAATGTGAATGCAAAGCTAAAATTGAAAAGGCAAAAGGCCAAGTGGTACAATGATCACACATCACGCTCCCTGCCAGAATTACATGTTGGGCAAGAGGTAAAAGTGGCACCTCTTCAGAAGAATCAAAGCTGGAAATCTGGTACCTGTATCAAGAAGCTATCAGACAGGTCCTATGCAGTTAAATCCATCATTCTTAAAAACTTCAAATTACTTCAAAACGATCCAGAGACAAGCACTATCTTTTCGCAGCCTCCGCTCATTTCATTCAAACGCGACAAAAACTTAGGCAATTTTTTGGTCAGAAGTTCTTTTCAGACTAATGAGCAACCAGGCACTTTTAAATGCGCTCGTGC